GTGGCCAGATTATGTTTGTGGTGATGTATATTATATATGTATTACATTGTTTTATATCTATTCTGTAATTCACAACTGAAGTACAAATGGGAGGCTAGCCTGTAAGGATATCGACTTAAGTTTTCATATAAAAGCAGAGTCAGTAACAGATAGAGACGCTCAAATGGTTCAGGTTTAAAAAAAAATCGTGAAAGACCAGGAAAAGAAGAACAAACACGCAGAGGGCGATGACCTCAGTTGTTTGTCGGCCCCTAAACTTCCCACATTGCATACTACAAGTTAAATATATATAATATTAATTGTGAAAGATTATACGTTTGAATAATTATACATGACTGATGTAGCTTTTCCGTTAAATCCCCTTTTGAACTAATATTTGCCGACATGGAATTGTGTAGGGGAGATCCTCTTAGCAAGACCATAAACAATCGGTTATGCTTTGTTCTGTGGAGAACGGATTTGCCTTTTATATGAATATTGCTAAAAACGTTCCGATCCGAAAAATATATACTGTAATAATATTTGTTTAATTCAATCAAATCTTAAAAGTTTATATTGTGCATAAAACATTGGAAAAGAAGAAATAATCCAAAAAGGTAAACTTGGAACAATTCCGGCTACATAGATGTGTAATAATGTATCAGTCTCCTTCCGACAATGGTTTTCCAATTCCTTCCAGTTGTGAATAACGTTTGCTATGTGAAAATTTAATAAGACAGAGAAGAATTTGCCAATATTTCAATAGTTTCTCTCGAGTACGTACGTACCGAGTGCAACAAATTCAACACCCTTCACGCGATCCATAAAAATCCATCTAAAATCCGCGATGCCCAGTAGAGTTGACACGTCAAATTTTCTACTATACGCCGCATGTTGTGAAAACAACCCCCAGTTCAAACAGTGCGGTGATTGTTTTCTATGCAAGAACGCAAACAAACGCCCCCTCACGTCAAACCGCAAACAAACCACAGAAAATCAACCTGAATTATTTCACAACCAATAAATCTAAACGGCAAGTCCTTTATTGATTTTTATTACTAAATAAGTCGGAAACCTGTTCAATTTTGTAAAATATGGAATGCCTCGGCTCATATCGAAATTTATACGCATTTTTAAATGTTATGCATGCTGCACAATAGTTTAACGAATTGTTCGTTTTATCCATTGAACTGCTGACAGTAGCTCGGTGAAAATTATATGCCCTATTCACGCTGTTGGACTAGAGTTCGTACAACATCTGAAGCTGCTGCCGTTTTGTTTTTTTCTTCTGACACTATCTATGTCGCATGTCAATCATGACAACGGACATCGGCGTTCGGAAGCCGTTCTGTTCCACACAGTTATTTCCTTACCGTCATACTCTGACAGGCAGCACTAAAAGCTTTAAACAGGCGTGAAGTGAATTCGAAATGTGCCTGGAGTTGCATGGATTCCTTGGCGGGAGTAACAATAATGTCCTTCGCCTGGTTTCCTGGACAGTCAGGACACTGAAGTAGAATTATTCTGCCCCCGAACCCCACTGCAACAACTATTTTACGCAAAAAATGATCAACAGCCTAGAGATGAAACGCGAAAATATTCATACAGGGGGCAACTGAAAACTCGGTTTCTGGTAAGTCTCCTGGCTGAACACTGTTGCCTAAGACGACACTATACCGGATAGACTGACAAAAGCAATGTTGTGCAGATAATGCCAAGAAGAGGAAGCATTTCTTGACCAGCACACCGCTCAGTGCTGGTTTGGAAAATTGAATATGACTTAAAAATTGGCCGTGACGTTTGCTACCTTACGACATACATAGGTAGTAACAATCGAATTTGCTTTTTCATCAAGACGTGAAAAATTTATCACTGGAGATAGGTACTTGGAAAGTCACAAAGACTAAGGGCGGACTTTAATGGTTGTTGATGAGGCTCTACAGTCACAAGTGCTGTGAGACTGGAGTATCGTAAGGCGATGTTAGTGGCGTGGTAATAAAGCACACTGGTCCCGAATGAACTTAGTTATCCTCCGAAATGATGAAAATTATTTGCTACAATCATATAAAATGTCTTTTTTTTTTGGGGGGGGGAACTATCGCGAACCAGTTCTAGTCTAAATCTCTAAGTTGGATAATTGGATCATGACGTGCACTATATTTTTAATATTTCATTAAAATGGAGAAGAGAGAGACCACGAACACATTTTGTGCTACACAACAAATGCTGTGAGGGTCGGTGTGTATGTTTCGAGTGCTAAGTCTGGAAAAACCACTTACTTTGCAGGCTATGGAAAGAACTTGATTTACAGCTTAAACCTGACTATGTAATGAGCTGCGGCAAAATATAAACTTAGGTCGTGGAACAAGAAGCTAAATGGCCATACGTCCATATCTATCCCTATATTTTTTCAGGTATTCAGGAATTGAAAATAAAAAACGACCTTGACGCCAGATAACAAGCTACTATGAGATTTCCTTCTGTGGTCTACGGAATGATGATTTGATTAATTTGATTCTTACGATCATCTCGGTCTGCCGACTCACTCATCCCCCCCCACGATCTTATAAAAAAGACTTAACAGAATCACACGGACTTACAAATTTTAACTATTGATTGTCCCTTTTTTCCTGTAATGAAACGATAAAACAATCGCAATTCCGTTCTTTTGAAATGTATTCTTTCTTTGGGTTTTAAAATGAAGAAACCATGACGAGTGGAAAAAAACAAAAGAGAGACTGAAGCTAATGTAATTAAAACTTTATAGCCACGAGACGTAGGCAGGGAATCATTAGAGGGAAGAAGTACCAATGACCCCTTATCTCCTCCTTTGCCCGCCCACCATCCATTCCGGGGAAACGCCCTTAAAGGGCAAAAATAACAGTACGCAAGTAGACTAGGAATTCCGATCACTTCAAAACAATTTCACCGGCCGCAAGCACGAAAATACACGTTTAACGAGAATCGTACATAATCCCGAGGCTGGGCTTACCAATATGGGGAGCACTATTTCTGGATCACTTCGAGGAAAACGATGTGTGAAATATTTCAATACAGTTTATTCTGTTATATAGAAGGCAAAACATAATTATAATAAACGTGTGTGGTGATTAGTGACCGTTAATCGATAAATATTCAACCGCATCTCACGATTTCAGAATAATTATAATAAACATATATGTTATAACTGTTTTTCAAAATATTATTAACTATTTTGTGAAATGATTCCCTAAGAAAGCAAAACCTTATTTGATGTATTAACACCTGTCCAGGGTTAATTAATAATATCATAATTTTAAAGCTACATATTAAATTTTGAAATATTTTCCTTTCCTATCTCTTAAAAGAACATCATTTACTATTTACAAAATATATTGCAGCCTGGTTCTTAGCACTTGCTATCAATAATTAATTCACTCCCTGATAACAATTTGTTATTATTAATTGGCTTTTAATGATAAAAATTACAATAATACAAATAATTTTTTCAGTGGCATATAAATTATTTGTTCATAATTTTTTTGATTGTATATTCCAAGTTTTAAATATAAATGGATATTGGAAATAAATATATCTATCTATATTAAAGCGCAAATAGTAATAATTATAAAAACAAGAGCATCACGATAACATAGTATATCGTGGTTCAAGAATATTGTGATGGCGACCTCAGTAAACACTACAGAGCAATTAAATAATAAAGAATGTGAGATCTTTAGCAACACTCAAAAGTTTAATATAATTCAATGGCGACAAAGAAATTTAGAGGAAATGAGTTCAAGTAAAAATACCCTCTGCATCAGGACTTAAAAGTTGAAAGATAGGAACTATTTGCACACTCCAACTGTCTTACTCGCAATGGATAATGACAATAACAAGTCAAACTTTCAAAATTAAGCGGCAACCATACAAGGTATAGAGATTGGAATGCCCATTACGGTAGAAGATCTATTTCATTTTCTCATGGTCTGTTCCAAATTATCAATTAATGAATGGTCGATTTTCACGAAAGTAAGCTTCAACTCAAAAAATTTTAGATTACATAAATGGTGGTGTGCGTTCCTGTACCTACGAACTAAGGGCCAGAATGGTAAAAGGTTAATTATTACAGGCTGTTGCAAAGTTTCTACAAAACAGAACAATACGAAATAAGCAATAAATACATAGGCAAAATACATTTTTTTTTAGATTTTTGAATTTGCTATTTATTGATTAAAAAAGTAAATATTAAAAAATCTGTGTTATGTCGCACCTATTTGCTGTTAGGAACATAGGTCAACTCACCCACAACAGTTTGCACAACCAGTGGTAATGCATGTCTTTACCTTTGTAAATATTTTAAAACAAAAATATTATGTAAATAATAAAGACATTATCTATCTATCTATAAAAACAAGAGTACATAACCTCAGTCACAATAAGAGAACTTTTTTTTTCTTTTTTTTAATGAGAGTTCGCAACAGCAGAGGTCATATAAACCCTCAGAGTCCGGCGTTTTTGAAAAAAAAAAAAAAAAAAAAAAAATTTGTAAGTATGTCAGGTTCGAATCCAGCAGCCCTGCATTCGAACCCAGGCCCCCTTTACCTTAAGAGATGAACACCGTGTCAACGCCTAAACCGTTCAGCAACCGACCCCCAGAATTATAAGATTAGCAGACTAATCCAACTTTTTGCTGATCATAAGGTCAAACTGTCACAAATCAATTTCAATAAGTCTTTTTAATATATGAAGAAAAACTTACTTTTGAGCTTCTTTTACTTAAATGGACTTTAAAATGTAAAAACACTGGTTGTAGGTACAAAATCAAAATAAATTGATAATAGAAATTTAGTAAATTCAACAAGTCTAATGAGTATCTATAAATGGAAGGAAAGTACAAGTGTACCTTCAACAACCAATTAATTGTAGATCAAGGAAAATAACAATGGATTTTGGAGGCACAATGATTTCCAAGATGAAATGTGTTTCGGCATCAAATATTTTTTAAGTAAAAAAATGGTTTTTTAATCAAATACACTAACCTGTCAAAAATTCGAGCTTCTTTCAAAACGTTGCCAAGGTTGATGTAAGCGTCCAGGAAGTTGGGGTCGAGAGCTACAGCTTTTTCAAAGTGGTGGATCGCCAGCCAGATTTCGCCTTGAGCGTTGAAGACACAGCCTAGATTGCTCCAGGCTACTGCGAAGTCTGGTCTTGTTTCAATAGCTTTTAAATAGCAGGCCTGTGTGAAAGGAAATGGGGAGAGGGAAGGGAAAAAAACGAACAATGAATTAGAGCGGGTCTCATCTCGACACAAGGACAAGGTCTCACCTGACGAACAGCACGCGAGCGGCGCAGGCACACGCTACAGGTGGCACCTCGCATGCCACCTGCAGCGTTTTGTTTGGATTATCGCATGCCACAGCCTCACATCCACGGCATGCCACTGGCTACTTTTTTTTTAAACTGCTGCCAGTGGATGGTGATGTGAGACTGAGTGGAGAATCGCAGGCGCAATAAAAGAAAGGTAAGGTTAGCAAGCGGAGAGTCCCTACTTTTTGCTGATCGAAAGGTGAAACAAATATTTTAAGTCGTTATCATAGCAAGTGGGGCCAGCCTCCCTTCTCAATTCTCATCTCTGGAGAGATCTGAAATTGCTCTCTGTTACTTTCATTGATTTTCATTTAATTATACTTTGAAGTCTTATTATGTTTATTAGAATTTTTATAAATCAACTGTATACCAAGATTAGAAATGAGCTTCAAAGTATTTCTTTTTCTTTTTTTTTTTTTAATTTTAAAATTTTGTAGCAATTGGGAGACCGACCAATATATACTTTACCTTTAAGTGCGACTACACCTACACCTCGGCATAGATACAGATCTACACGGTGAATGTAGAAGTGTGGACCTCACCTCTTCTTGCCTAGTATTCACAGTTCAAGAAAACAATAAGAAAACTATTAATCAGTTGTTGTACCAATGAAGTCATTTAATAGATTTTAGGTGCTTTTTTATTTTAAAAAAGGGCGTTCTTTTATATTTAAATTTTTAAAAAAATTAAGGCAATTATTAAATTTGTACCTTCAACACTTAAATAATTTGATTATTATGAATTGTGTGCAAAAATGCTTGTGTGAAAATGTGTCAAAGGAAATAACCATGTACTTGGTCTGTTTGAGAGAAGCAAAAGAAATATAGCAAACCCAAAAATGCTTTCACGCTTTTTCTCTCTGATTAATTTTCAACTAATCACAAAGAGAAAAATAACTTATTACAATTAATGATGTTGCCCTGATATTTTGATAATAATTTTGTTTAAAATATAACATATTAACTTATAAAATAAAAACCTTTTAAAAACCAATTAATCAATTTAAAAAATTGTTTAGTTTTAAACAAAATTATACAAAAAACTGAATAAATCAAAATTTATAGCTTTTACTTTGAATATCATCATTTACGATTGACACCAAGTTATAAAAATGCTTTACACATGTAGAAATTTCATGGAAAATGTGGTCTTTGTTTTTTAAAAACATGCATATTAATCATTTTCAAGTAGAAAAAATTGCATCATATTTTGTAAATAAATATATGCAATCCGATATCATGTTATTTCTACATGTGTTGACACGAAAAATACAAATTAATCTAATTAAAAAACCTAACAACCACTTTAACATTAACTTTATCCCAGAAATTTTTATAAATTCGATTTTTTAAATTAATTTTAAGGTTTTTTTTTGTCAGTTATATTGGTAGGAATTGAATTAGAAAACTGTTTTGCTGACGAGCATGAGCAAAATGAATTTGTAACAATTCATACCATTTTAATTATGCAATTTAATTTACTGTTAAAAAATACTTATTTTTAAAAATAAAATATTAAGATTAAAATTAGTGAGTATTAAGTTTTATTACTCACAGTTAAACCATTCCGTTAGAATGTTAGCTATGAACTGCTTTAATAGAAATAATAATAAACCCCTTTCATTATAATTATAATTTAATGATGCTACTACTAGTTTAGTTACTCCAGCAGTTTTCTTCTATAGAACTATTATTAGACTAACCTTGAAAAAAACCTTTTAAATCTAAATCTATGTTGCGGCAGAACGTTAAATTTCACATATTCAGTACATTCGTAAGAATGCTTATTCATCAAATAATTTCTGAGATTTAATACAATCGTGCAATTTTATTTTAAAAATTACAGGTTAATTGATTAAATTTATGACTCACCTTTGTTTTGCAATGTACAACACAACCAATGATCTTCTTTTTTAAATTTTAAATTATTATGTTTTTAACCCACTTAGCTCTCATTAGACTTACTGTATAAAATATACCAAAAAATATTTATTTTTTATTTTTTACAATCATCTAACTATATTACTTAATTTTAAATACAGATCAAATTTCCCCTAACATTTCCACATAAAATTTTCAAGCGTCTGAATTCACCTTAAACCTTATTCTGATCAAATTGGGTTTTGTTTTTGGTTTTTTGAACAGTAAACCCGTTTCCACTAATATCTCTGACTTTTGCCTCTAATTGGTTAATTTAACTGTGCTTAGATTAAACTAAGGAATTTTAAATTTAAGGCTAGAACAAACCCTATGAATTATTATTAAATTAAATGCCACCACCAGCATTATACAATTGGTTTTTGGCCTGTAGGCCATGTTCACATGGTTCACGCCAAATAATATTTCAAAGAGTGAAGATTATTAGTGAGCAAGTATTCTGGAAAGAAAAGCGACAGTAATTTCTATGAGATTGGCTTCAGCTTTAATTTTACACTTTCAATGTTTATTACTAATTAAACCCTTTTGAACCACCAAAAAAATAATTAAATTGAATTTTAATGCAGTAAAAAATTAATTTAAATTTTAAAACTTAAACCAAAAATAAAAGAAATTTGCACCATATAGAGTGAATTTTATTTCATAAAGATTAAGAAGAATATTCACAATTTTAATTTTCTTTAATTAAGACTGAGGCGCAACTTCATAGTAAGTACCAAAAGCTGTTAATGAAGAGCACAAACGCCGAGTCACGTATTTACCTTCAGAATTTGGTTGAATTTTGAAGAGGACTTTTTTTTTTAAAGGGCTGTTATTTGGAAATAAGGAAGGATTATAAAGGAACTAACTGGATGGAGAACAGTTTTTAAGTAGGAATTTTTCGATGCTCTTATCACTAGTTCTAATAATGCAGATAAAATTGTAAAGATTCAATTAATTCGCAAATGCTTTTTACTTTGATTAAATTAAGAAGGAAACCTTGAATAACTGCCCATTAACCACATTACAAAAGGATTTATATATCACGTCAACAATGAGCAAAAAGTTAAATAGAGCAGTTACTCAAGTTAGGGGAATAGGCGGCGCAAGAAAGTATCAATCGATTTTCCAAATTTTATCACGCTACCTTTATTTAAAGAAAGCATTTATCTTCTAGACCTTTTGGCATTATTAAAAACCAAAAAATTTATTTTGGAAATTAAATCTATTTTGGTAAAGCATGAGGAAAATCAATTGTCACTTTTAAATCGCATGCAGCTGCAGAATAAATACTAAAAAAATTCAGTCATTACTCCTAAACATTCATCCAAATATTGATACTTTCATTTAATCATTTTTCCTAATAATTGAACTCAAAAAAACAATTTCATATAGAAATAAAGTATCAATATCCTTCTAAATAATTAGGAACAAGGCACTGATATCTGTCAATAAACTGAAAACAAAATTTAATTATACAAAATCATCTTCTTCAAATCTTCATTAAAAAAATAATAAAAATATAAAACTCCTGGAAACAATACAGCAAAAACAGAAAGGTTGATTCACAATTGCTTCCAAAAGTTTTTAACGCGCGCAGCAGAAAAAAGCAAATGCTTGAGGCTGACGGTTCAATGTTTTTCTCTCTTTTTACTACATGATCTGATAATGGCATCGAGACAGGGTAGAGCAGGTCTTGGTCTACAAATGTTTTACTTTGGACAAAAATCAAATAATTACCTTGGCCTCCTCTAGTCTAGCGAGAGCTTTAAGCAGATTACCCAAATCACTCCGTACGCAGTACAAATCCTGTAATTTCCCAGAGGAATTAATACCAGATTAGAAATTAATTTACAAATTTCAAACTGAAAAACTGAATATAGAGTTCCGACTTGTAGAAGAGGGGTCATCCAGATTAAGATAGGCCGTGCAAGGTTGACTCATGGACACTTTTGGACTAAGCCTGATTATGTGAAGTGTCTGACATGTAAAGAAAGATGCTCAATATGTCCCACCTATTTGAAGGGTGCAATTCTTCACTCCGTATACACAGCATGTAGGAATGCCATCTGATATGAGAATCGTGCTTCAGCACAGCAGAATATCTGGTCCCCTGTTCAGATTTTTGGAGGATACTGGGTCGTTTTATTGTTAATACTGATAGTTTTGGGTGTTGATATTGAATGTATTTATTGGCATGAATGTGTAGTGTGAGAAGGCCATGGAAGAATATCTCCACAATTATGTGTAAATAGGAAAGAATTATTTAAGAGTGAGTGAGAGTGAATGCATTTATTTTGAGGAACTGATTGCATTGGGAGCTGAAATGATGTAGCTGTTGGTCTGGAGCCCAACATCACCGGCTGGATGGATAAGAACAGGGTCCCGGACGGCCAACATCTTTTGGCCAAATATTTTCGTAGTTGGAATAATAAATAGGACTATTTAAATTTTAAAATATTTAAATCAAAAGTTTTTCAGCTAGTGTTTTTGCCCTGTGATGTGTCACAGCAGGAAGCAAGTTTGGATGTAGAACCACTCCTGCTACATATTTGTGTTGCAAAATTCAAAGAAAAGTCTATGTTGAGAATATGATATCGATAATAAAAGTGAAAAACAACTGCTTAATTATTAAAACATTCAATTACTACTTAATTACTTAAATATTTGATTACTCATTTTAACCACAAACAAATTGTGCCTCAAAGAACATATTCTTATATGTTAATTATATTATACATATCTTATACAATAATTTCTTAAAAGCATTATTGCTTTCATGTAAACAAATCAAGCCGAAAGTGAAAGATCACGTTCAAGTTCGGTTTGATGCAAATTGAATAGTACAACTACATCATGAGACCAAAGTCAGAAATTACTTCCTATCTCAACCTTTCTGCTACTTATAAATTATAATTTTTGTCTTGTGTGCTCATGAAAGGGTAAAAACATGGCTCTTCAATTTAAAAAGTTTAATTTTCAGCCAATTTCTTCTAATTATTTATTTTCAGTTTTTTCCTAAGATTACTAATTTTTTATTTTGCATACTAACTGGATTGTATTGGAGAGCTGTTACATAAGCCTGCACAGCTTGTTCCATATCACCAGCAGCAACTAAAGCTGCCGCTAGATTGATGTATCCGTCTATGAAATCAGGTTTTAACCTTACTGCGTGTCTGTAATTATCCAGGGCCTCTTGTAGCTGACCCCTTTCCTTGAAGACGTTTCCCAAATTGCTGTAAGCTTCTGCAAGAAGTGGATTTTGTTTGATTGCCAAAGTGCTGAAGTGAGCGGATCTATTCGTAAACAAATGAGAAAAAACAAGGTGAGCGGAAAATTTTCAAAAGGCAAGGCTTATAACATACAAGAAATAAATGCTTACTTGTCAAACCGCCTACACTGGAAGTGAATAGAAGAGAGAAGGAGCAAAACGCCTGTGTTGTTCTGCTCCTGCCTCCACAACTGCATGCAGTGTCTCTCTGCATTCTCATAATCGCTCGCTTGGTACTCTCTATGGGCAAGCTCCAACAAACCTGAAAATGAAATTTTGACTGTAAAAAAAAATTTGCCTCGTACTTTTTCATCTCCGTTTGTTGATCACATTGTTTTTTAATATGTATCGTTTCTTTTTAACCAAACTTACTTAATTTTGGAGTTTGTGGAAGAACGTCATGAGTTGGTCCAACAACATAAATAGTTTGATCACCTAGACCAATAAAAAAAAGAAAAAAGAAAATGAATAAAAATAAAACATAATCGGGACAAAGGAAATTACTATAAACATTAATGAAATGTGAAATCTTGCTGTTCCCGTTAACTAGAATGTCCCATTTGCAAAAAAAATGTATTAATCAATAATTTAAAAAAAAAAATATTTTGAAATTATTTTTTTAACTATTTGTTTGATGTGGGCATTATTAAAACAAATCTGGACAATACTTTGTCCAGGTGAGTCTTTTGTTTTGTACAGTATGCATATACAATAGTATTTTGCCACTATTTCAAAGAATTAATATAACGAAGCTAAATAAATAAAATACATATAAAACAGCTTTATTTAATCTACATAGTTATGAACCTTTTGTTTGGATGGTACTTCCGATAGTCTCTGCCTATCCACGTTTCTTTGGTCTGTCAGACACATTTTGGCATTTGGCCATCTACAATAGTTGGGCTGTCATTGCCCTCGATATTTTATTTATAAAAAAAAGTATTGTGAGATTTCTCGATGGGTTATGAGCCTTTAATTTGGTCTTTATCCATTATTTTGGTCTGCCTTTCCTCACTGAGTTTGTCTGTCAAATTTCGGTATTTTGCCAACTTCAGTGTTGAATGTGTTTACCGACCCAAATTGCAAGAATAGACAGAACAAAATTGAAGAAATTACCTTCCCTAACCATCACTAAAATAGAAAAGTCAAATTAACATAACAGTTCACACACATCGATAAAGTCCTGTGCTAATTAAAGTGATTGTTTAAACAGCCTGCAACGATTTCATCTATTGACAGAAAAGGAAATTTGTTTTGCCTGTCCACCTCTCCACGGGACAGGATAGGGTGAACAAGACCCCATACCATGACCAATTTAATACCATTTAAATCTATGAGGAGAGGGCAGTGTTATCAGAGGGGGGCTTTCATTTAGATGAGTTGTAACTAGTTGTAGATTTTGGTACCTAACGGGACATAGGGGGAGGTAGTACATCAGAGTATTTATCTGAAAATGGTTCAAGTTCCACTCGTGATACTAATTTTTCAACTCAACTTTCTCATAAAATTATTATTCTAAAGAGAAAAAAAAGTGAAAGACTAAGATAATAAAATACCAATAAAATCATGTAAAAAGTAAATTATACTGTTAATGTCTACTAGCTTTTCACAAAACCATTGTTTACAACAATCCATCACTTAACCGCCTAGTAAATACTCCTCTGACAGCCATAAGACCCATCATGGCCATATTTATAACATTTTTTTTAATTATATTAATTATGTAAATGAAGGCAATATTTGTATTCTGTTTATTTTTATTAATAATGTTGTTTATTTATTATTTACAATCAAGTTCGTTAAGACCATTAATTGACAAAATCAATACAAAAAATGCTGATATTGCAGGGGTAAAACATTATTCTAAAACGATTAATTTTTAAAATGCCAATATAAAATAAATATGCTATGAAATTTTAACAAAATTTATATGCTATTCGATTAGTTATTATAATTGATCAAAGTAGTAAATTTTCAATTTTGTAAGTGTTACAAGGTCATCTGATTCGGCATAATGAATATCTTGCCACAAATTTATAATTTCATCATAAAAACCCTCGCATAGGTTTATTAAACTCACAAAAGAAATTAACATACGAATAACTGAAGTTGACAAATTTAAACAGCAAGAACAATATCTGTTTATGCCAATGAAATGGGGTTAAAATTAAACGGCTGCATAATTTTATGTTGAAAAATATCAAAGTTAAGTCCAATTTGGAAAAAAAACACTTCCTTCCTTTCCTTCATTAAGTTAAAAAGTTCCTTCTTTAAGCTTTCGAGGAATATGTACCTCTTCATCAGGACTTTGAAACTTTAATTAATAATTTAAAAAGTTAACAACAACAAAAAAATATATATATATATATAATGATAACATTTCAATCGTTCAGTTGTTCAATTTTTTATAATTGCAGAATGCATTTCAAAACAATGAAGGCACTGATGAAACTATTTATTCAAAAGAAATCAAATCTTTGTCCAATTGTGATTATATCTTTATTAACATCACTTCATTGCTAAAATGATTTAAAAAAATGATAGGGGGGTCTTCCATAATGCAGGCCATTCATCAATAGAAACAAAGTTTTTATTACTTAACAACTTAATGAATACAGATATTAAAAAAAAAATCTATCATTGTTACATACAACATTTGCACTTGATAAGATTCCATGCACCACAATGCCCCAACCAGTTTTTCATTTTAAACAAGGGAATTAACAGTAGTAAAGGAATACATTGATAATTGTAATAGCCATTTTATGAGGAAAAGGATTTGCCGGGAGAGATAAGGTATAGACATTGATCTGTTGTTTAAATCGATGTGGGGTCACACATTTATGAGTGACACCAAAGGTCTGAACCTATCTTGTACATTATTGTACATCGTTGAATCAGTCACTATTAAACGCAGTTATTACTGCTACAATTTCTACAAAGTAATGATTCTATCACAGCATTTTGGAAATCTAAGAGTCATCAATAGATTAGAACTAAGCAAGGGAAAAAGAATGATTTGTGGTGTGTTGTGATTAGTGACCGTTAGTCTACGATTATTCGGAAATCGTGAGATGCGTAGGTTTCAGAAAAACATTTTCTTTATCGTGCCAACTTTATTGAGATCATCTTCAGGGCTCAAAGTGTTTGTTTTCTGCGTAATTGTGCCATTCTTGCGTATCGCGTTGAGAATGCCCACTGCATCTCACGATTTCCGAAGAATGATTTGAAATGAAATCTTAAGAGGCACGTGTGAGTATTCTGCAGTTAACGTGTAAACAAACTCAACAAATTCAAAATTACTTTATAAAGTAAAAAAAACTTTAACAAATAATTTGTTGAATATTGGTCCAAGAATCTTTGTTTCACGCAATTTTAATGCCTTGAAAAACTGTTCCACCACCTTTTGCCAGGGTTCATTGGGGGGGGGGGGGTCATTCAAGCATTGTCTATATAAAAGTTTAAAAGAAAAATTTATTGGATATTCACATATTTTCTATGTTCAATGATGATTAAATTGTGTTTGGTGTATGTGACATGTGATTTCAATCCCTTAAAATAATGCTCAATGTATGCTTTTTTTATAAATTCTATTCTAGAAAATTTGAGAATACATAAACTGATATAAAATTGATTATATTTATATTAACAGGTACATGTAATAACTAAAAGGCAGGTGAAATTAAAAACACTGGCATTTTCGATAACAGGAGCAGATTTCATCTTGAACAAATGGAATATTCAAGTCTGTTATGTGTAGTTTCATTTGATACACAAAATGTAGCAACAAGGATTTTTCTTAAGATCAAAGGCTAGGATTAAATATTAAAAGTGGTTCTTCCTCACAGTTTGTTGTTTTTAACGATTCGGTTATAAAGCTAAAGCTTTAAGCTTTATGTTGTGCGTGCGGGGAATCGTCATCATTTGTTGATGTACAGTCGGAGGTACTTCCCCGAGCTCAAGAAAAAACCAGGGTTTTCGGAAGGCAATAGCCCAGAAGGAATGTCAAAGGAGTTCTATTCTACTATTTTTAGACTGAAGACAAATCATGGCCTATGGGGTAGCTAAGCTACAAGAAGAGAATCGGTTTGGCATCGTCTCCGAACTGTCCCACTTGCGATTGCCCTTCAAATTCTTCCCACATAATTTTTGAATGCCCAGAATACAAAAATGAAAGAGATAAACTGCTAAAAAATCTGAGCAAAGTCCCAAACGTTCCCAAACCAATAAACTTAGAATCTGTTCTAATAAGCAACAATCCATCAGCATTCAACATAATCTATGGATTTCTAAAGTCGATAAACTTTACTTTTTGATTATCTTCAACCATGAAAATTTAGAAGATGATTGAGCTGAGTGAGGGTGTAGGCGCACGGTGGGGGCCTGGTCCTGGTCAGCCAATCTCGCTCGGCAGTAAAATTAAAATAGAAAACTTCATGGGTAATATGCCAGCGTAAACCCAATTAAAAAAATGTACAGTGACATGTGAGTTTGTCTGTGTTAAATTTTATTCTCTTAACCTGATATAGTTGGAGGGGGGAGAACTCTACCTGGAGATAGGGATATATTATGAGAGGAAATTGCCTTCAATGACTCAGAAAAACCAGTCAGTGAGATAACTGTGCAGTAAGAGATAGGTGGAGGGTGCCCTTGGGCAAACTCGATCAAATGCTTTTTATTTCAAGAAAATCCTCAGAACTGTACTGCCCAAGGGAGTAGGAAATAATGTCTACAACACAATGGCACTGTTGGATGGCAATGGAATGGCAGTTGCAAAACCAAAACTGAAGGTCAGGGATTATATTTTGAGAATTTAGAATTGGAAGAATTCTTTTAATAAAAGCTTTTCTAAAAATTATTCCTAAACTTAGCAACTTATTTATTTAGCTTATATGAAGCAGTAGTATGGGCTATAGGATAGTAGGTTATACGAAGAACTAAATTAAATAGGAATGTAATGAATATGATGGTGTTTTATGAGTTGATCTTAGAAGATTTTAGGAATACAGTAAAACCCCGAGTTCTATCTGGGCCCTGGGTCTCCATATACTAAGTATACAAGTATATATTTCAAAAGTCACTTCTGATTTGAAGAACACTGTCTTTTGTCTTGTTCGTATGAAACTCCCACCAGTCTGTTAATATCAAACACATTCGTTAAGGCTGTCGTTCTAGAATAACGCACTAAACCCTTCCCCATATAAGAAAGCAGTTCCAGAACAATACACCTCTTCTAGAAAGTCCCCGCTTTTGAAGCTTGTATTTTTGGGGTATTTCTGTAATCAAATCAGAGTCAGAGGCCTTTAGTAAGCTCTTGGTTGAGATTAAAAAGCAAATGTCACGAGCGGGATTTGAACCCATGACCTTCGGCTCAAATCGCCGCTGATCTAGCACTTCAGCTATCGTGACATCAATCCACTCAGACACCAACCCCCCTCAACCTATAACCTTTCAAATTCCCCCCCCTGTTTTTTGCCATATTTTCAAATATCAGAATTCAATTCTCGGCGACTTATGAAGTGGCCACAGGGACGACGCACAAGGGAGAGGTTAGTGTCCGAGTGGAAATAAATCATGATAGCTCAAGTGGTTAGAGCAGCGGAGTATTGAATCGTAGGTTCGAATCCCACTCGTGACACTAGCTTTTTTATCTCAACCAAGACCTCAGATAAAAAGAATGACTAATTGAAATAGTTAATAGTCAATTAAATATATGTGTTACTTTGAAGTTTCAAGACAGTTTTTCGATTTGGCCTTTAGGAAATTTTTGTATGATTTTTTGAAGAAAAAAACCTAATCAAATTTTTTTGTTAGATTACATATTAATAAAAGTAATTATGTACACGTGTCTTCTTAATTCACCTTTAAATTGATACATTTAAAAAAATCCATTATCCAGGGTTTTTGATTTTACATGGACCCCCCCTACCTGCCATTACCCCGGATAACTGAACTTTTAATGCATTAAGATCAAAACCTAGTGCTTACTTTGATTTAATATTTGCATTCAATTATGAAATCATGTTGATGCAGCATATCTTCACTCGAAGATTTGTGTCTGACTAGCTCAAGACGTCATTACTTAAGATGGCACAATGCTGAAACATGTTTGAGTAGAGCGAGTAAAGACCCAGCGCAGGTTCAACATGAGTTCACCGACTCACAGACCAGCATCCAGCAAAACGTTCTGCAGTGTGAGTCACATGTGACTTCAATGCTTTGAAACTTGACATTGATTTCTTCCAACTTTTCTAGTGGTATGAGTAATCAATGTTTATTTTCTGAAGCTCAGAAGTTTTCTAGGTTTCTTTTTACTTTTAGCCGATATGATGCAGGATTTGAAAAAAATAATCAGTTTTGCTCTTTTTTAGTGGTGGGGAGTGTTAGGAAATACAGGAATACAAAAGCCTGTACCTTCGGATTAAAAAACGGGTTAAAAATACTTGCACACACTAGATTTATAATTAAACCAAAACATTTCTGTTGGGTCGGTGAAAAACAAAACCAGGCAAAGCGTTATTTCTGGTCAAAGGGAAAATGGGGGAAGGCATCCCATGTTCAAGGCTTCGTGTTCCGAGACAATTTTGAACGGATTAAAAAAGAAAAAAAAAGACTAAACAGAAAATTTAAAAAACCTGAAGCTATTGTGTGATGTTGGTGAATCAAAAGTCGCGTGTAATAAGAAACAGGGGAAAGAAAAATCATGTAAAGCACGAGGTGTTTTTTTTTTAATCAAAGTTTTTTTTATATAAATAAGCTTCGTTTTTTTGTATATAACAATAAAAATAAAATATTTAAATCAATAATAATTCTCACCCCCGGATGTCAACTGCTGAAGTTCGTTCATTTTGAGTATAACATTTCCAACGGGTATCGAGTGGGAACAAGGTTGCCTTTGCATAATCGCCGAGACGGTCCGGTCTTGGTGTCGTCGGCTGTCGGACGAAGCGAATTTCCCGGTTGTCGTACGAAGGGTCGAACCTTGTCTCTTTTGATCTGTCCAAACGGTGAGAAGGAACAAGTCGAAGCGACAGTCACGAATGCTCAATATGGCCAGGACGAGTCGACGGGGCTGACGGCTAGCGGATGACGGCCCGTGGAGGAGCCGAGCTTCACAAATTTGTCAACAATTTTAAAAATTATCGTTTTCCACACAAAAATTTAAGAATAATTTAAAAAACAATAAAAATAAATTTTTAAAGTACCTCTTAAAAATTAAAAAAAACAACTGAATTTTTTTATAATAGATATTAAAGGACATTCCAACTCCCAATATTTTTTTTAAATAAAAAAAGCATAAATCCAATGATATTTATAAAAAAACGTCAACCAGCAAGTATTTAATGAATAAATTATTTTATTTGCATTAAATTATTTTACCAAGGCGAATTTATTAGCAAGAAAGTACAAAGCAATCTAATTTTATCGACATAATAAATCAAGGTCTTTCTTTTTATTATTTTCTTAGATTGCATAATTATTGTAATTTATTAATTTCGGTCAAATTTTGTAATAAATTGCCGGCTCCTCGGCGTTGTGTAGGCGGCTAGAGAGTCGTTTTGCACATCGTTGTGCAGGCGGCGCTGATCTTTAGCTGGTAGCCGGCCAATCGGCAGCCGCCGTCCGCCAATGGATTTTCGCCATATTCTCAATGCTGCGCACTCGCCGAATTCGAATTTGGAAATTGAAAGGGGGTTGAGAGGGAGGCTGGAACGAGATTTGACGTGTTTTTAATGTCAATTTGACATTGTAAGCATTGATGGACTGTATGACATTCAGCACGTAGGTAAGATGTAAAAAAAGTAACGGTTAAAAAATAACAATAGAAAACAAGTTTTTTTCATGATTGATCTAGTTTCAAAATTTAATTAAAATCGTACTTGTCAATTTATTGACTGGTCAATCGCGAATTTTTACCTTTGCCCGTTAGAAACAATTGCCATGAAACTTGAAAGAACCCTTCCAACCTGCCACGATAAAAAATTTCCGCAGGTCCTTTTTCGAAATTACAAATGACGTCAAGGCATGTCTAAAATGACGACAGGAGTTTTCTACATATGATGGTGGGGCGAGTATGTAGTACTTTCAAAACTTATTTTTTATTTGTACTAATTCCCTGTTAATTTGCTATGCAAAGCAGTTAACACAATTAACATCATTCACAAAATGAATCTACTCACTCACCCCATCTTCATCATTTCTATTAATTTGCTTGTCAAAGCATTTAATAGATTACATCACAATTAACATCATTTACAAAACGAAGTTTTCTACTTTTAACAAAAAAATCCGAAATAATAATAAACACTAGACTGACGCATGGTCATCTCTTAGTCCAAAAAAAAAGTCCAGGGAGATGCCCATTGTGGCATTTATTGGCGAGAATGTGTGAGTGTATGGGTGGGTAGTGGTCGGAATATCGAGTACACCAAACTAGGATATATATCTCTTTGATACTTTTTAAAAAGGATAGTTCCTACTCACAGTAAGTTGTTTTGCAACGATCCGGATTTCGAGCCTTTTAGCTCATCATCAGGTTGAAGGACTTCTACAACCACGTCTCTCGACATGAATTGCCAAAGTGAACCGCTGATGTATATCTCTTTGTGTGTTTTGGGTAGAATGAATGTATTTATTGGCGCGAAAGTGAGTGTGTATGGTTGGGTTGTGCAGGAATATCGAGTACTCCACAGACCTACCGATCTAGGTTAGTATTAGGCTATATTATCTTTTAGAGTGAATGGGCGGATGCACTATTGTAATATTAAATGCGCCAGTGGCTTCGAATTTTTTTATTTGTAAATCAGAATGATTGGTCACTGTTTGAGTGAATGTATTTATTAGTGCGATAGTAGTGAATGCATGGGTGGGTGGAATATCAAGTACGCCATAAACCCACCAACCTAGGTTAATATTTTAGATTAATTGTAATTTTAATTGTACATAATGTATGGATGTATTTATTAGCGTGAACGAGTACTCTGAAACCCGCATATTGGCTAGGCTAGGATTGAATATTAGTGAATGAGATAGCTAAAGAGCCTTTTCACCACGTGTGGGAAGGCTAAAAATGTAGAAATAGCGTCCCAGAACACAACCAGAAAGATCGCCAGACTTCCTACAGAAAAGCTAACTTTAAAAAAATTAATTAAGTAAATAAATAAAATATATAAATAAATAAAAATAAAAACGTGAGGTGGAAGAAATGTGAGGTGCCGGCAATAGCCCAGGCAGCTAGTCGGCCGGAAAAAATAATAATAAAAATAATAGACTGTAACACATTGAATATTTTCAAACTAAAACATGCGAATAATCAGACGAATATGAATCAACAAGATATTTTTTTAAAGAAGTTTTGATGGCTGTTCATTTTTTTAAATTTATGGTCTCATCAATTTATTTTTACTACCAAACGAAACAAGCGTTATTGAAAAGTCCCTTTCAACTGATACGTCAAAAACTTAAAAAGAATTTTTTTCAAAATTCAAAAGACGTCAAGGCATTTTTAAAATGACGACAGAGTCTTGTAAAAATTATAAAGATAGGGTGTGTATGTAGATTCATTTTTTTGTAAATAATATTAATTTGCTAGTCAAAGCATTTAATGAATTATAACACATTTAACATCATTTACAAAAGTGAAGTTTTCTACTCCTTTCTACTTCTAACAACAAAATATTAAAAGATTAATATTAGTGTATTCTATTGAATATTTTCAAACTAAAACGGGAGTAATTTTTTTTCTTTTTACTTTTTTACTTTTTCCAAATTAAAATGACGCCTAATTTCAAAATTTAATTAAAATTGTACTTGTCATGAATTTTCGACGGGTCTTGAGGTCCTTGAGTGAGTACAAATACTTTGATTGGTCTAAAATTTCTAGCATTTTATAAATTCATTTTTTTCACATCCTACATGTATTTGAATAATTTAAACAATGTTTATAAATCCCAGGCCCTGAGGATGATCTCAATAAAGATCGAAACGTTGGCACGATAAAGAAAATGTTTTTCTAAAACCTACATCACACCAGACCGCATCTCACAATTTCTGAATAATAATAATAATAATAAATGGCACACCATTTCACATTTTACAAACTTATAAAAGGACAAGATTGACACAAAAAAAGCGTTCCGTGATTTCTCCATCTTCCTCGATCGAATAATAACGACACGAACAAAATAACACATAGACCAAATAATGAATATGGCGAAAAGCCGAAACACGTTTGACAGAGTAAAACAGCGAAAATTGGCGGACCAGGGTGATCGGAAACGACCAAACAGTATGAATTGTCATACTAATTCGATAATTCCAAATTTATTCGTTTTATGGCCTTTCTTTTGAACACAGTCTGATTAAAATTTCAATCAGTTGTTATATTAAATAAATAATTATATTAATTGAACTCCACGTAGCGTCTTGGGAAATACGGCCTCTTTCCCAAAATTATCTTAAACGACCGGCGTTCTTCCATTGTTTACCATTTTCTCAGGGAAAATGGAAATTATTCCGTCCCAATAGATATTGGCGGCGTCCGCTCGGTCTCGCGCGTCTGACCTGTCGATGAGATTACAAAAGGAGAAAAGGTGCCCAATGGAGGAGGAAAAACATGAAATTCACTGAACAGGTAGTGGACATGTCTGTTCCTCCTTTTTCCTAGGACTTTCTACAAAAATTTTCCTTACGATATTGAAGGTGCGAAGAAAAAAACAATCAGATGGATTTATCAACTAATCCGAAATTTAAGCGATTTGTTCGTTTTTTAGTATTTGGTAAAAATCAATCCCTACAACAGACTAAATTCTTAAGCTTTTACCTAACTGATAACATATTTAATAAATAACTCATACTTAATTAATAATCTTTATGTAAGGATTTGGTTGAGATAAAAAAGTCAGTGTCACGAGCGGGATTCGAACCCACGACCCTCGGCTAAATACGCCGCCACTCTACCACTTGAGCTTAACTTAATTATTAAATGAAAAGCTTGATGGTAAATTAAACTTGAATCGAAACTACTGGGTGCTTGTCTGATTTTCTTTATTAAAATTTAATTATTTTCACCTGTCTTTCAAATTTGTTTTAATTAGGTTTTATTGTAATTTCGGTCAAAAATCGATTAAAAGTTGTAGGGCAATTTTTCTATATTTGTAAATTAATAGTCTTGTATGGCAAATATATTGTTTATAGAGCTTAAATTTTAGTTCTTTTCAAACTTTTGATGTTTTCTAGATTTAAATTTTTTTATTGTTTTATTTTTATAATTATGTTACAATATTTTACTGATGCCTTGGGGGCGTCGGTGGCCGCAACGGTTTAGGCGATGACACGCCGCTCATCACTGTAAGGTAAAGGTCCCGGGTTCGAATCCAGCGGCCCTGCATTCGAACTCGACATACTTACAAATGGGCTTTTTTTCAAAAACACCGGCACCCCGAGGGTTGATATAACCTCTGCTGTTGCGAACCCTCGTAAAAAAAAAATAATAATTACTGATGCCTTAGGTAGTCTTGATGTCTTCTGGCTTCTAACCTTTTGAAATATTGAAAATTTCAAGATTTTTCATAGACACATGATAGATTTTTCATAATCCAATTTAATTTTTCAAAAATTGGCTATTTAAAAAAAAATTAAAAACACTTCAATTTAAAAAAAAAATGGATAATAAACCGTATAACTTTGGAGTCATGATCATAAAATCGAAAATCCACTTTTATGTCAATACATTAATGTATCGTTTGACAGATATAGTCATTTATTCCCAATTGTTCCGATACTTCAGTTTTCATAAAAATGGTCATTCATAAATACAAATAAATAGAACCATTGTTCGAGGGCGACGAGTTTGTGTTTTTGTAAAAACAAAGACCGAAGCGTACAAAACGCGTGTTTTTGAAGTTAAAAAGGGCCGAAGATCCAGGGTAATTACTTATTAATGAATTCTTCTCCCTAAGTCCTTGACAACGCATTGTTAAGGAACGGCTTGCGTGCTTCACTATTCTCATTCCAGCATTCCTTCCACCTGGGAGAATAAGCCACGATAAACTTGTTACACAGGAAAAAATAGTCTTTATTTGCAGGCCTGAATAAGATAAAAGTCAATTAGAGCATAATCAATTTTCTTGAGGTAGAGTGTTTCGTACTTTGTATGGTTTCACGAGGATGAAACCATCTCGTAAAGTACGGTTTCATTTTACGACTACTTGCAATATTAAAATGGTATAAAATTGGGCAAAAATGTTTAAAATTGGCCGATGATAATCTGTTTATCTTCCTTCTTAAACTTTCACTTGCAGAATTTCCATTCAATATCTAGCTACTTCCAGTGAAAGTTTCAAGTTTTAATTGGTCTAGCCTAATTAATGTTATTTTATCTATATGCAAGTTTTGGCTTGTTATGAGGTTAGTTTATATTTTTCTCGTTTTTAAAAGAATGATTGACATTATTATTAGTACATTTATTTATTTAATGGGCGGTAAGGGATAACCAACATATTAACATGGTATGTTGTATTTTTTGGCTAGATAAACAATAGGATGGATTAGATTATGTCTGGGATGGTTAAGTAAGGTTAGGGTTAGGCTAGATCGGCTTAGGGTTAAAATTTGCGCGTTAGTACACTATTGCAAGAAATAGTTCGTAATTGTGTTTTAAATTTATCTATTCATTTTATAATGCTAATGTGCAACTAAGCTTGACTGTCTATTTGTTACATAATTTAAACAGATAGGCATTTTTTAATAAATTATTACAATTTTGTACGAATTAGTGATCGAATAGGCTTTTGTGTAGTCGTGGTAAACTTTTTATGTAACTAATGAGCACACACCCCCAGAAAATATACCGCAAGGAAGACCCTGACGTTCCTCCCTTTCACTCAGCTTTCTCCAAAAAATGAACAAGGCAAAAACCAGGATATGGGAAAAGACCGAAACCATTCCGACCAGAACGAACAGCGAGACAGGGCGGACCGGTGGTGACCAAGAACGATGGGAATTTCAGTTTCATAA